GAATTTTTAAAAAAATATTTTTAAATTACATTTCATATATCATAAATAAAGTAATTATGAAGTTTTACTCAATTACAATAATATTAGCAGTTCGGATAATGGTAATGTATAAATAGATCGTTGGGCGCTTCTAGTAATAAAAGAACAAGTAACTGCCCTCTGATCTTATTTTTAAAAAATTACGAATTTAGTTAAAAAAAATATGAAATTTTTGCAAATTTGAAACCAACTAAAGAGATTTAAAAGAAAAAAAATCTTATTTTACTGATCTAAACTTCCTTAGTTATATTTTTATTGAGCAAATTAGCAATATTTAAGTGTGATATAGCCAGTGCCGGTCCCTGGGAACCGGGGCTGGAATTTTCGTTTGGCTGGCGTCGGTCCGCCGGACCGACAGTATTAAAGTTAAAAAAAATAAATATAGTCTCAATGAAATGTGATCAAATTTAGTTTTAATGAAATATATTGAAACATTCTAAACAAAATTACGGCTTAGGTCGCTACCGGCTGAACGAAAAGGACAGCAAATTCGGCGCCGCGCTCAACGTGTTAAGATCTCTCTCTCGAAAATGCTCCGTTTTATATAAATAAGCATGAGAATTCAGTGTAGAATGAGGAAATTTGATGAAGTTTATGGAGTGAAAAGGTACTGGCCTTTATTACTCATTCATATCTGAGCTTAGCGTGTGACTGAATAATACGCGGAAGATAAGACCTTTTGGAAACACGTGATCGATCACTGTCGAGGGAGAAGTTTGTCTCCAAGTTCGCGACACTTCAGCAATCTTTCCGCAACATCTTGGAAGATCTAGAAGTAAACTTATTTATCGCTTAATTCCGTTCTGGCGGGCGCCCTATTTACTTCTTCGGCGCCTACAGACTTGATGGGTAATCCCTTTAAAAGTGTTTTCTCAGACGGTTTCAGCCACCAACTTTGATCTTGTAAACTAACCATTGATGGATGGTGGCTCGTTCACACTTTCTTAAAGAATAGGAAGCTTAATGTTATATTGTAAATGAAAATGTTTCCATTAAAAATATTTGAAAATTAAAATGCGTTGTTTCCCAGTTTCTTTTAAAATTCTATGTTACTATCTATGCATTAGCAAAAATTATAATAATGTCACATTGATAACAGGAAAAAAAAACATTTCTAATAATACCATAAGTCATTTTTTAACTACAAGGCTAGCTTATGATCTGCTGAAGAAAGGAATAATAATAATTTGAAAATTTTGTATAGATTTTTTTAAATATGATAAACCATAAGACGGCTATCGGTCTACGAGGAAAAATTTTGAAAAGAATAACTTAATATGATACAGGAAAAAATAACAATTTATGAAATTATATGGTATAAAGTAGATAATGGAGTAATTTGTATACTACATACCAGTAAAACTAGCTGAAATACGTTTTATTGCTTGTGCTTTACACAAAAATAAAGAGTCCCTATTTAGTTAAATTCTGGTACTTTTATTGAAATCTTGGGGAATTAGTTATTTTTGACTTATTTTTCCAGGTGAATTGTGTAAAATTTTGCCAAGACTTAAATTCTGGTTTAATCTTTTGCGGCACAGTATGTCCGGTCTGGACACGCCCAAAAATTTCCTTCTGTACACACAGAAAAATTGAATGAAAAAGGATTTATAGGTTACTCTGAACCTTCTTTATTTATAGTAGATGGCAGCTCAACACAACCAGTCCATATATTTTAATCATGTTTAGTTTTTTAAGACCCTCATTTTTCAAAGAAATCTTCCAGATTTTTTGGGGGGTATAAAAGGAATTGTTTGAAAAGAAATTTCTATGTTATTTTTTTGGCTGTATGCTATTCTCCTTATTCTATATTAGTTTTATTCTATATTGTTGTCAAAATATGTGAACCACAGAAGAACTCATAGAATGCCTGGAAGTGATTGTTACGAATAGGCTATCCCAAATTTCTTATCTAAGTATGTAGACACATTAGATATTTTTGAAGCAGGAGAGATGAAAAATTAGAAATGCCCTCGCCGGGAAACGAACCACGGACCTTTCGAACACGCGCCGAGCGTGCTGACCAGTACACTACGAAGGTATGTATGAAAGCGGGAAAAATACCTTATAAGTATCACAGCGAAATTTTCAGGCTTGCTCTCAAGCATGAAATTTTTTTCCCCTCGCAGATGACGTATTCTGATTGCACCACCACTAATTTGTATATTGCAGTTTTACCTAATTTATAGCATCGAGCTTTTTGATTAAATTTGAAACATAAATATCTTACCCTTTGCAGAGTGGCAGCACAAAGATTCAACGATAATCTATGACCCACGTCCTTACCTCGTAATATTATAGCGAATGATGAAAGGTTTTGAAACACAGTAATTTTAAACTTATTTGCAAAGTATTACATAGAGTGAATGTCGTTTCCAAGTATGTTTTGCTATTTTTATTTATAAAATCGAATGCTCATGTATTTTCAATATTGCTTGTGACCACATTCCCTCTGCGTTTGAGTTCATTATGAGTTCAGCTTAAAAACGAATGTACGTAACAAGATATTTTAGTAAAATAATCTAGCATTATCTTTCACAAATTATAATTGGAAATTCAGCATGATAATGAGGATAGCTCAAACTTTCGGAAATATCTTACTTAAATCTGGGAACATTTTCTAATATAAATGTTACATTACTTTTAATTTTAATAAAAAAAATTTCCGACTGCATTCGAAGGGGTACTTATTGAGAAATAGATCTTCTTTTTATCTTTCCCCCCCCCTCTGCATTTCATAGATACGAAACGAATGTAGTATAATCCATCTTTCTTCTGATTCGTTCTTTCAGATTTTCCTGCCTTTTGAAGTTTACTCGAAAAAGGGACTCTTTCTGTTGTAGGAGGCTATTTAGAGGAATAAGTTTGTTTGCAAGCGTAAGTTTAATAATCATTTCATTTATAACAAATAATGGCACTGTTTACATGTTAAATAAATTGTTTAAATAATTATAATATATAGAGCCTGTATAACTACAGCTAATTACAAACCTATTTTTGAGGTATTTCGATTTAGCCTCTTGCATCGGCAATGTGCCTTGACGTCTTTTAACTAAGATCAGTTCGCATCCTTCTATGGGAACCACAGCTCAGAAGTATAAAATCTCTCTCCAGCCCATTAAGACGTAAACTGAGTTACGCTGGAAAATGTAAACGAAGACAGTCTAACGAATTAATTTAGTCCAAGTCCCATTTTTTGCGATTCCTCCGATTTCTTAGCTATACCCTTCTGGTTGCAAATACTGGCTTAATATTACACGTAGACAGTTGCGAATCTGGAAGCATAAAATATACAAACCGATTCCTACTGCCCAAAAAGGCAGCCTATGCTGTCTCGGAGGGTAGTAGTACAAGCCACCCGAGCGCGTAACATGATGATCAGACGACGATTCATCATCTAGCCACCACACCCTTTGTGGCTCCGTGCGCCCTGAGATGATGACCTCGGAAAGCTAATGTAGCGCTTGTTTGACAAGAGAAAGAGTTCAGTTTAAAAGTTACTTGTCCATGAAGTAAGTTGCCATAAGACTTGTAGCAAGCGAGATGCATACGTTTCTTCTCTGGGGGCTTTTTGACTGGCTACATACCACCTCCTCCATAATACGGATGTCACGCGTTAATCCGTGTAAAGCCCTACGTATGTGGCGGAACATGTAATTAAACTTCACTTCTGCTTAGGCAGAATTTCATAGTCAAGAATACTTCAACAGTCATGTGCCTGAATTTGAAAAGCCGGATATATCGCACTTCGTTCAGCATTCCCAGTAAAATTAATATTGTTGCGTTTTTTTTTTTTTTTCTTTTCTGACACCTGTTGTTACGTTAATTTCTTCCTTCACGTTCATACGGGATTCGTAGATTTGGAGTGAACAACGACGACACTTTATGAAGTATCGAAACACACTTTATTTAGCCAATATTAATCAGGACAGCTCCAAAATCAATTTTACAGTCGTCGAACTATTATAAACACGCTGACACTTTCAGCGACACAGCCTTCCCACTGTCAGGCAATAACGGTGGAGACAGCTTCACTGCAAAGCACCCGAGTACAGCTCCCATTTCTGCTTGGTCGTTCTCAGAACTCCACGTACTCTCGAAACTCTCCACGCCATGCACTCGACGATACACAATTTTATAGCTCTCAACTCAGCACAGTCTAAGACAAAACTGGACGATTCACTGATTCGCGATGCACTAAAAGACTCTCTCGATGCACTCGACGACCAACTCGGCGCTAGACTTCGATACACTCGCTCAGTGACTGACTATCACCGTTTAAAACATTATCTTCACAAAATTCACTTTTTAAGTGATCACCAATATGGCTTTAGACCGGGTAGGTCTACCCTACAAGTATTATAAAAAATTACAGAAGATATACATCGTAATCGCAACAATAGTCACCAGAGTGCTTTCATCAGTATAGATCTTAAGAATGCTTTTGACTCACTGTGGTGGCCTGCAATACTGGAGGCACTTCGACAAGCTGATTGTCCTCAGAATTTATTTCTTGCATTTCAAAGTTACTTGTCGGAAAGAAAAATTATCTACTCCACTAATCATGGCATTATTACAAGACAACAAAACAGAGGCTGTCCGCAGGGTTCTTGTGCTGGCCCTGATTTATGGAATATAACATTTAATTCTGTTATTGCCGCAAACTGGCCAGCACATACCCGGGCATATGCGTATGCAGATGATACAGTTTTTTATCATTCAAGGACGAACTCGAGAAGAGTTGCAAAGAAATGCTATTGAAACCTGTGATCTCTTTTATAACTTATGTTCTAGAATTAAATTAACAATTTTCCGAACCAAAATCGCAAATTTTATTAATCCCTAAAAAAAGGAGGATCTTTGGTTCGACGGCCTCGAATCACCATTCATGGTACACACGTATACCTATCAAACCGCAGCTCAAATTTCTCGGCGTTATCTTTGACGAGAAACTGAACTGGATGCCGCATGTTTTGGAACTAAAGAGACGAACTGTTATAATTGCATGTAAATTGCGTCAAATGCAGGGTCGTGGATGGGGAATTAGTCCCTATATACAAAAGGTTCTTTATCTCACCGTTATCGAGAGAATGGTCACCTATGCGGCTGCTATATGGGCTGAACCCATGCAGGGTCGCAAAGTGCGCCACTTGCAAAGTCTCCAGCGTCAATTTGCCTTACAGATAACTAGGGCGTTTCGTACTACCTCATCCAGTGCATTAAATGTCATGGCGGGACTGATCCCTCTTCATCTACGTATTCTGCAGGAAGCAGCAATACAATCCGTCAAGGTTTTGAAAAAACCTTTCATCCTATTTGATGAACTTTTCACACCATTGCACTATGAACAACCCTCACAACATTTGGATGTGCATCCAGTCCTTCAAGGAACAGGACTTCGGATTTTCCTTAAAGACGTAACACTGCCACCTATCCCAAGCATTCAATATTACACTGATGGATCTAAAATAGATCAACAGACAGGCTGTGCCCTTGTAGCCTTTCATAATGGTCAGTCAATTTATCAGTGGCTGGGTCATCTCCATGGAAATAATAGTGTATTTCAAGCGGAGGCCCTAGCCATCCTCAAAGCAGTTCAACACTGTAAAACAAGTGGTGCTATGGAGGCAATAATTATCACTGATAGTCTTTCGTCGCTTCAAGCGATTCAAAACCCCAGACACATTCTTCTTCGCTTATCTCGGACATCCAATGTGAACTTCGTAATCAAGTGGGAAATAACATCACGCTAGCTTGGACTAAGGGCCATGCTGGGGATCACGGTAATACTTTGGCAGATAAGTTAGCCAAATCAGCTGCCGAAAATACCGATGCCGAGGCTGAAGAAGTGATTCTTAAGTGGCCAACATCTCACTTAAAACGAGCTCTTCTTTTAAAAGTTATATCCCAATGGCAACTAGAATGGGATACTGATGAAACCGGTCGACGAACGTACAATCATATTACGTATGTGGATCAATGTCGTCAGATAACAAATCATCAACTAGTAAGATATATCTCGGGGCATGGTCCATTTCCAAGCTACTTTTACAAGCATGGAATTGCAAATAGTGAATATTGTGTCTGCGGAACTCTAGGCATACCTGAACATTATATTACTACATGCCCGTTAACGGAGGAATTTCACATTCCTTTCCCTGTGGATAATCAACTAGCATTTAGTAAATTTTTAATTAAGCAGAAGTACCTTATCAGAAAACTCTCAAAAATTATGGACATTCTCCACAGTTATGGATCTGATCTATGTCAGGATCATGGATCTATGTCAGGTTGCCTAATGTTAATGGTTTTGTCCTGTTTTCATAATACAACTGTATTCTTGTACAGTCCAGTTGCATTCTTGTCTGTTTACATAGTGTTTTCATAATACAATTGTATTTTTATACACTCCAGTTGCATTCTTGTCTGTTTACATATTATAACTATATTATTTTTTTAATAGTCCCAGTATTGTTACAAATATTATTACAAATTGTATTGTATTTTAAATGCACTATAAGATATTGCACAATAAGTATTATACTCGCAATCTCAAACTATATGGTATTACTTACTGAATTATCTTACTGAATTATAAGCTACATATTAAGTATTTTATTTTTTCTTTGGTTATATATCAAAAATATTGTAATAACTATTGTATCGAGCTATTAGAATTGTATTATATTTCATTATAATTACAATATACAATATTTGCACCCTAAGTACTGCATTATATTCTAACTAGTCTATTAACTTAATTTACTTATTATTTTAATTCTTGCATTAATTATTGTATTAAGTTGGTAGTTATGTAATATTATGTTGAGTTATAAGCTCTACCCTAAGAATATGTGATGCAACATATTGAAATTATGAACATCGTATCGCTATGTATGCTTTAGTATGGAACTGTAAATTAAATTCTTTGCAATACAGAAACTGGATTATTAGCATAACGTTATAAGTAGTCTTGATTCAACTTGGCATTAACTATTTTATTGAATTACATGCAGAATTTTAGACTTTAGATTTTAGATTTAGTTTATTGATTATATTGAATTATATGTCGTGTATTGCATATTGCACAGAATTATTAATATTGAATTGATCATAAGTATTTTTATACATTATATTGGTATAACTATATTGTTGCATTGTATCGCATATTGCACAGAATTAATAATATTGAATTGATCATAGGTATTTTTATACATTGCATTTGTATATTTATACTGTTGCAAAATATGTCTTTTTATCCTCAGTATTGTACTGAAGTGTTGCTCTTGTGTATTGTATACAAAGTATTGCATTTAATTCGCTTTAGTTATTAAGAACATTGCCTTATAGGCATCATACTATTAAGAATATATATATTGCACTTCTTTTTATACCCTGAGATACGTACTGAATTAAATATTGTATTAATTATTTTACTGAACTAGCAATTGTGTTAAAATACTGTATGAAAGTTAAAGTAGTATTTTGGTCTCATTTTGCTTTAAATATTCCATTAAATTATAAATAGTATCATAGACGTAGCTTATCGATTTTATACTGTATCATATGTCTTGTATTGCATATTGCATAGAATTATTACCAATTACTTGACAATATGTATTTTTCTACATTGCATTTGTCTATATACTGTCACATACTCTATTTATTTACTCTTAGTATTGTATTGTACCTATTGTTTTTGTGTCTTATATACTAAGTATGTACTGATATTAAGCATGTTAATTTACCTATTGTATCACATATCTTACGTATTTGCAGTACATTATATTATATCGTATAACCGTATTGTATAATATATATATTAAATTGTGAGCTTCGTATGGATATGTATCATCTTATATGAAATTGCAATGTTGTGAGCATCGTATACATAATAAAATTGCACTATAAGTCCCCTGCAATACAGGAAATGTGTAGTTGGTATCGTAATATAAATAATGTATCATTAATTTTGCATTAACTTTTGTAATTGAATGATATAGCATCCATTATCTTACGTATTAGTTGTAAATCATATTGTACTGTATACTGTATTATATAATATATACATTAAATTGTGAGCATAGTATAGATATGTATCATCTTGTATAAAATTGAATTATAAGTTCCCTGCAATACAGTACTGTGTAATATATATTAAATTGTGAGCATCGTATAGATATGCGTCATCTTGTATAAAATTGCACTAATATAGGAAATATACAGTTGGTATAGTAATATAAATAGTGTTTTATTAACTTTGCATTAACTATTGTATTGAACAATATGGCTTATTGATCTTATATTGAATTATCTATCTTGTCTTGCATCTCGTACAGAATCATTAGTATCGTTTTACCTTGTATTGGTATATATCTGTATATGTATGTATGTGTATATGTGTATGTGTGTATATATATATGTATATATATATGTATGTATATATATATGTATGTATATATATATATTTATATATAGTTGTATAATGTATCCTTTTTACCTTGTATTGGTATTTATATAGTTGCATAATGTATTTATGTATTGTATCCTTGCTTTGTACACTAACTATTGTATTGAACCTACCATCAGTATTAAGATCATTACATCACCGATATCATACTATCAGCATTATTATCAACCTAGTATATAGCAGCAGTAGCAGTTTTGTAATATTTAGCATTGTATCAGTTTGTAGTACTGTCTGTAAGTATTCTAGTAGTAGTTTTGTAATGGTGTTTACTCCTTTGGTTTTCTATTGTTATCGCTATCTGTATGTGTTTTGTTCTAATTATGTCTATGTGATTATAGTATTTATTCAAAACTGGCACTTGCACCTTTGTAATCTTATGCTTTGTCAAAACTACAAATGTACCCTTTATTTATCTATTTATTTTATTTTTTGAGCCCTTGTCTGGCCATGTATTTGTTGAACTTTGACTCAATAAATACTAGGCCCGGGCGGTTGGTGTGAACATGCTTCTGGGGGCTTCTTTGGTCTTTTGGACTGCCACCTGGATGGCCTGGTCGCTGGGTTTCGGTGTATGGTGCGAGGCGCCTGTGTGGCCCATCTGGCTCAAGATAGAGGTGGACGTGTTGCATATGCCAATTAACCATTACGGTAAAGGGATGGTGCACACGTCCCCCGTCAACTATCAACTATCACTAGACGAGGCACACACACTAATTGACTGCGGACCATCAGGGTTTATATAGCTTTCGTCTTGTGTTCGAGTAAACTTTCTGTGCTAAACCGGTAAGAATTCGTTCCAGAGGTTCTCCGTCCGTCCATGGCATATTGCCAGTTTTGTTGCGAAATGTCCCCAAAGGGGCGATTTCTCTCCAAATATGGCAACCCTGAATTCCTTTGCCATTTTATGGCAACTCTAAAACTGCTTTGCAGGGAGGCCATCTTACAGCGCTTGTACATTTCGTAACAATATCAAGCACCCATTCTGAAAATATTTCTTTGGCACCTGAAGAAGGGGTAACTGCCTGTCTACAAGAACAGCTCCCTCCACAGTGTCTGCCGGGAGGCGGTCACTAAAGCAACAGGGCTTGTATATTTCAAATAGGGGCGAACCAAGGGTTGCTGTATTTTTATTTTATTTTTGGCGAATGTTTTCTGAGGGGAAAAGAGTTTATCATTCATGTTCAAGACACCCCTAAGGAAACTGGGTCAACACTCGTTTCTACGGCAACAGACAGCTGCAGACTAACTGGCGAGAGCTTTTCTTATGATAGACAGTCTGTAAGTCTGATCACCCTCGTAATCGATTAATTTCTTTTATTATTCTATACCAGACTAAATTTACCTGCACCCAATTTTAAATTTAGGTTCCTTTCGCAAAATTATTATAAGACAAATAAATTGCTCAATTGTTACGTTTTCAAATTTATCCTAAAATGTAAGGGGATTTAATTTTTGAAGGGTCTTATTTTCGAACAAATAGCATTTTACCCATAAAAACCTATTCAAGCTCTTATTTTTCGGAAATTCATTGCATTAAGCTAAGTGCTAAAAACTCCTTTATTGACTCCTAAAATTTAATTACTCCTTAAACATTAAAACTTAATTTATTATTTATTGAAAGTTCTCTTTTGGGCTTTCGCAAATTAAACTTTTTATTCGATATGGAAATCAAGAATAAAATGAAAGTAAAACTTTTAAATTAACTTTTAATTCAAATTCCTGTGCCTAAAATCATGAGCTAACAAGCTTGAATCGAATTTATTGTCGGTCCTTTTTATAAACTACCAATTCCTGTGATGAGATAAAATTATCTTTCAGCAAACTTTTGCTTTTATTTATCTACTTTTATCTTACGCCCGGATGTACTTTATCCCATCACGAAGAAAGGATTACTTTTGACTTCCGATTCATTCTTTCGGACTTTCTTGTCTGATCGATATCTTCTCCGCTGTGTTAAAGACTCTATCTTTGCGTTATCATCTCCTCAAATTTCAGTAATGGCAATTTTTTATCAAGCCCAATCTTCAACTAAATTTACTTTCACGAAATTAATCTTCATAAAATGTATAACTGAAATTTATGTTGTTTATACCGGCAAATGGTTTCTCTAATGATAAATATTATCTTCGTTTAGAAGTTTCGTTTTAGTTTTAGAACCAAGATAATCCTTTTATGAAATCATAATTGTTAGCTTAACTGTCGTTTATGAAGATATTTCACATAATATTTTGAATTTATATGCTGGTGCAAAAAAATGAGGTTGATAAAAATGAAGGCTTGAAAGCTGAAAATGGTATATTATTTGTAATATAAATTAAGAAACAACGTAAAACATCTGTAATAAAAAATTAAAATAGATAAATAAATAAAAGGAAAGGACAAAAAAAATCTGAAAGCTTTCAGATTTTATATTACGTCCAAAGGGACTTTTTTTAACGTTTCGTGTGTGACCTTTATTTATTAAATATCACGTTATTTGCACTTAAACCATAAAATTCAATTCAACAGCAATATTGCAGAATAACTTAAAAATAAGCGTATCTTTAGAATTTCCGATACACAGTCTCGTGCGCTGATTTTTTTCTTTCGTACAGTGTTGTCACTGCTTTTTTTTATATCGAGCTTGGTAATCGAAAATTCGTTAAAGTGTTACAACACGATGATAAAACAAATTCCAAATTTGGGCTTCCAGACGCCCATATTCGGGTGGAGTCGTACGTTATTCAAAATTAGATGGCTCTAGGTAACGTTGTTTTATCACTATGGGAGAAACATTCATACATTCATGCGCATACTTTATTATTTAATTTATTTAAATGT